TGATCCTTATGGTTAGAGGGAGAATGTTGAACATTTTGGGTCCTTGGTGTTGATGAAATTCTCTCGCCATACCTATTACACCTCTGTTGTTCAACAAGGCTATTTTGCACTTTCTGCCATGTCACCTGGTCTTGTGTGGTGTTATTTCCATGTGCAGAGTTGGTCCCAGACCCTTTGATATTTTCCAAGTACAGTATATATTATTATATATCTCTCCCACCTGTGCTCTAGGGAATACAGATTAAAAAAAATGTAGGGGGTCCCAACGATTTACATGTTTTATTGAGTGGGTTCTAGCAGTAAAAGATCTTTACACATTCTCCAGGTCAGCAATTTATCCAGCTTTGAACTGGGCTGTTATTGTGCAACAATATTCCACACTAGCATCTAGAAGTTCCATCATTGGTATGGCATCTCTTGTTTGAAAGGTTCTTGGTATCTAACCTGTCATTTTTTCCTGCAGTTGTGACAACTACTTTGTTCTTTAATAGTAAGGTCTTACAACATGAATACTCCCAAATATTTTATATAGTTTTGCTTTTTCGTTTTATCGTGTGATTTGACGTCATTTTAAAAGTGGTTTCCGTTTTTAGATGTTTTAATTTTTTCATAGCGCCGAGGCTGGAACTTACATTTATTAAATAGCATATTATTTTCTGTGGCCTATTTAAAGACCTGATTTACTTCAGTTTGGAGATTTGCTGTGTCCTCTATGTTGTCTGCTCTCGTGAAAATCCTAGTGTCATTAGGAAAGGATGGTACGATACTATACATTGTGTCCCAGTCAATGTCCAACATGAAGATAAAAAAAACACAGTACCCTGGGATGACTGAGCTTTTCGCAGTGGAAGATACAGATTTTACTTTGATGAAATTCTGAATTAATTTCAATTAGAGTACTGAATAAATAATTTTTTTTAAAGCATGAGAATTTTATGTATGTAATTTAGTATATATTGTACTGAAAAATAAATAAGGAATGTGGCTAATTAAATTTACAATGCAAAATAATGGAGTCTGTAATATTAGATGCAAAACTGAAGTGTAGAATGTGTATATAACATCTTAATTATAGAATGATTAACACTAAATTATAGAATGGGTTTTGCTAGGAGAGGGTTATGTGTACAGTACACGAGTGGGAGTAAAGCTAGGCTCAAGAGCACTCTACAGTGTGTGAGTCGGAGTAAAGCTAGGCTCTAGAGTGCTTTACAGTACTGTATACTAGTTACAATTTAATTAATTTAATACAATACTTATATTTAGCGACTGGAGTGGCGGGGTGTGAGGTTGAGTTTAGTCAGTGTTACAGAAATGATACAGCTGTTGAAGAATTATATTATTGTCTTGTGAAGCAGACATACATGTAGAGAGAGAAAGAGAGAGAGAGAGAGAGAGAAAGTTAAGGTATCCATATGCAGGTGATAAGTCACAATAACGTGGCTCAACCCGTTCTCGCAAATTTAATAAGTCAATATTGACTTATTAAATATGTGCATAGGTGACATACTTAACATAATAGATACCCTTAAAAAGATTCATAGAAAACACCGACCTTACCTAACCTTGTTAGTATCTAAAGATAAGCATCTTATTGCTTCGTAATTACAATTATTACCTAACCTATAATAGGTATAGGTTAAGTAATAATTGTAATTTCGAAGCAATAAGATGCTTATCTTAAGATACTAACAAGGTTAGGTAAGGTCGGTGTTTTCTATGAATCTTTTTAAGGGTATCTATTATGTTTAGTATATCACCTATGCACGTAGTTAATAAGTCAATATTGACTTTACGAATTTGCGAGAACGGGTTGAACAATTATGCAGTGAAATGGTAAATGTGCATGAGAGGAGGAGGGGAGGATAAACAGAGTTAAACAGAGGCTAAGGGAGTTAAACAGAGGCTACAGTTAAGGATTTGCGCCCAGTAAATCCTCCCCGGCCAGGATACGAACCCATGACAAAGCGCTTGCAGAACGCCAGGCGAGTGTCTTACCATTACACCACGGAGACTGGTAGACTTGTAGGCGAGACTTATGTTGGTTCTACACAATCAACCTCACCGCAACCCAGTCTCTGACCTGGCCTTCTGGTTGGTGGTGTGGTCAAAATTGTTTAAAATGTTCAAAATTGATTATGCTGTAGTGCATAAATTACTGTACTAAAGATTGGGGGGGGGGGTAGGATTGTTTTGAGATGTACTACTTTGAAAGTTGTTTTTGGTTGTGTTGTTTTAAAGACTTGTTGGTTGGTGGATGGGTGAAACATTTTGTTTCATTAGTCCATTATAAAATATCAAGTTCATTACATTTAATACAAGTACAGTATGTAACTGATAATACATTTAGATGCAAAACAGAATTTTTAGCTGTAGGGCATGCTAAACATTGTTTTCACTTAAATCAAACTTCTATGGAACAATTGCAGTTTCAGTTAAGTAAACGGCTTACCTGATAAGTTTCATTATTACCAAAATGCAGTGAAAAAAAACATTTATACCTCGACATGAGACAATAAATTGACAAATTTTTTTTCTAAAAAAGATTCCAGCATCAGGGGAAATCTAGAGATACAGTACTGTAATGTATGGAAGATACAGGTAGATGATACATGAAAAATGAATACATGAATTCAAGATGTATGGAAGTTGCAGATACTGTAGTGAGGTGTTCTGAACTAGCATTGCCTGCTAAAAATGTTCATTCTATACCCAAGTGATGGCAACACCTTGTTTGTTGTTGTTGTGTTGACATCTTGGTGTGCCATTTGTTTAGATCTAAGTCTCGCTTTTTTTTTTTTTTTTTTTGCACCAAACTAATTTTTATCATGTCTGTTTGCCTCGGTATTATAAATATGCCAGACACTTATTGCATCAAAATTAAAGTGACATTTAAAGTTACCAGTGTATAAATGATATTCTTGTGTAAATTCTACATTGTTTACATTTTTATCTGTATAGTACTGAGAGCAAATTTGTACTAGAGGTCCATTATGTTGCAGACAGTTGTCTAGAAACATTTCTTCAATCACTTCTACTAGAGTAATAGGATATCTTAACAAATTATAAATGTGTTTATAAATAATGATTATCAACATGTTAAAAGGGTAAGTCATTTATTTAAGGTATATACCTTAAGACATCCTCTGTATACATAATACCTCTGATACTTAATACTTAAGATATACCTCTGTATACCTTAAGACATCCAGTATCTCCCTTTCTTTGGAAAGTGTAATCATGTCCTGTTCAAAATTAAATATACTTTGCAAAATAATCTAGAAGAGAATGGGGACATTGACGCAGTTGATAAACTCAATTTCAAGAGAGGATACTATGGGACTCTTAAAAATTCTTTGAACGAGTTTAATTGGACAGACTTGTTGCTAGGCAAGGAAATAAATGAGATGTATGCCAAATTTTGCAAAATATACAATGAAGGAACATGAACATTCATACCAAAACAGAGATGCAGGACCATGAAACAGGATTGGTTCAACAGAAATTGAGAGAGGGCCAGAAAGGATAAGACGAGAAAATGGGTTCAATATCAGAAGAGGCCTAACGCTCAAACATCCCAGCACTACAAGCAAGCAAGAAATAATTACACAGCGGTGAGGAGAGAAGCAGAAAGGAACTTTGAGAAAGGTATAGCGGACAAATGTAAAACAGATTCAGACCTTTTCTATAAATTCATTAAAAGCAAGCTGCACGTAGAGGATGAAATGCAGATTGAGAACGTTGAACAGAAATGCTGAGAATGAAAAAGAAATTTGTAAAATGCTAAATGAGCCGTTCCAAAGTGTGTGTGTACAAAATGAGGATTTAAGAGAGCTGGACCAAATACCAATTCTAGAACACGAAATTGAATACATAGAGGTATCTCAAGACGAAGTGGAAAAATTACTCCTGGGGATAGGAAGAAATAAAGCGAATCTGATGGAGTTTCACCTTGGGTGCTGCGAGAATGTTCAAATGAGCTGAGCTTTCCGCTCCAATTAATATTCCAGACATCCTTGTGCACAGGAATCTTAGCAAATACAGTACTGTATATGGAAAAAGGCAAACATATTACCAATCAATAAAAATGGTAGTCAAGAGGAACATCTAAATTATAGACCCGTATAATTAACAAGCGTGGTAATCAAAATACTAGAAAAAATAGTTCAAGCCAAATGGGTTGAACACTTAGAGAGTAATGGCATAATAACGGACAGACAGTATGGTTTTCGAAAAGGAAGGTCCTGTGTAACAAATCTTTTTAGTTTTTATGATACTCTAGAGCCACAGAGATACTACAGGAAAGAGGTGGATGGGTTGACTGCATTTATCTGAACCTAAAAAAAGGCCTTTGATAGTCCCACACAAGAGGCTGTTCTGGAAACTGGAAACATGCAGACGATTGTAATGCCCTTTATATTGATCTAGATAAAATCGGTGCTTGGAGCAACAAATGGCAAATGGAATTCAACGTGAATAAATGCCATGTTATGGAATATGGAATCAAAGAAAATAGACCACACACAACTTACAAATTATGTGGAACGGAATTACAGAACTCTAATAAAGAACGAGACCTAAGGGTGGTTTTGGATAGTAAGCCGTCGCCAGAGGAACACAGTCATAGTCATAGTGCCATAGTCTGCATTTATTAAATAGCTTGAGAGTCAGGACTTGACAACCCACGGTTAATATTGTTATAGATAACCTCGTAGTACTTTGGCACTTGTAAACCATTTAATAAATGTCAACAAAGCCACCATGGTTGAGGAAAGATGTACAGGTTTTGTAAGTGAACTTGTAATGTTTGACGAATCCCGACCCCTAGTGTTTATACTGTGGCACAGTTTAAACAGGTTTGCCTGCAATACATGATTTTACACACATTTTAGCAAAGTGTCCAAATTACATCAGCACCTTTCTAATTATATGTGGGTATTTATGCATTTATTTATGTATTTACATATTTATCAAAGAATATTATTGATGTCTCCCTTTAGGTGGTATTGTCAGCGTGCAGCAGTTACTTTGAGCAATTATTTGAAGAGCATCCAGATAAATCTCCGATCATCATTTTAAAGGATATGAAGTTCACTCACGTCTCCCAGCTGGTCAACTTTATGTACCGTGGAGAAATTAACATTACTCAGGTACTGTATTAGGTATTTGCTAAGCCATGGAATATTTTGTCGCAATACACTACAGTACTATGTATAATTTGTTGATAAAATGTTCTGTTTAAATGGTTGTTAGAGGTATACTTTGCTGTTAGATCAGTAGTTGTTAAACTGGTGTACATAGACCCCATGTACCCCTCTGCTTCATGTTCCAAGGTTGCTCCAATGTTTATATAAGTATAATCCTAGTTTGAAAAACCCTGTTTTTCAAAAAATACTGGAGGGTCAGGTCCCAAATCTACACAGTAAAATAATAACGTACTGGAGTAAACGATTTGGAAGAAAATGCAGAATAGAACCAGTGAAGAGCAGAGGTGCCATAGGCACAATCAGAGAACACTGTATAATCATCAGAGATCCGCGGTTGTTCAACGTCCTCCCAGCTACTATGAGAAATATTTCCGTAACGACTGTGGACAGCTTCAAGAGAAAACTAGATTGTTTTCTAAAAAAAACGTGCTGGACCAACCAGGCTGTGGTGGTTGGAAGAACTCCCAGATCCCCATCAAGCAGGTATATGTGGGCCTGCGGGCCACTTCAAGCAACAGCCTGGTGGACCAAACTCTCACAAGTCAAGCCTGGCCTCGGGCCGGGCTTGGGAGTAGAAGAACTCCCAGAACCCCATCAAGCAGGTATAGGTGGGCCTGCGGGCCACTTCAAGCAACAGCCTGGTGGACCAAACTCTCACAAGTCAAGCCTGGCCTCGGGCCGGGCTTGGGAGTAGAAGAACTCCCAGAACCCCATCAAGCAGGTATATGTGGGCCTGCGGGCCACTTCAAGCAACAGCCTGGTGGACCAAACTCTCACAAGTCAAGCCTGGCCTCGGGCCGGGCTTGGGAGTAGAAGAACTCCCAGAACCCCATCAAGCAGGTATCATAGTCTGAATTCTCATGCATCAACAAGGATTAAATTCAGTGGTTTTCATCTGTGGATGATATACATGTTACTTGCTTAGTTAACCCCTATGGACCATGTCAGTACAGTATCTGTTCCTGACAATGGTTTACCAGGTCGAAGAGAGAGTCTCTTCTCATCCGCACGCTCCGCTCTGAGAACCTGTACTCGAGTACAATCCCTAACCCCCATAATCTGAGTCAACATTTTAACCCTGTGTTTCACCAGAAACACAGGGACCTTAACAGCTGTCATGGGTTTATTGCCATATAGGTGAGAAATCATCACCTGTTTTCTGTCCTACATTGTGGCTTGTTGACAATGAGACTTAACCTCTTATGCAGTACTTTGAACCCTTTTAAAGGAGGAGTGCGCATTTGTAAGGAGTTGGTCAAGATATGCTAATTTCTACAATGGGTTTTTGTAAAAGAAGTACTGCATGTGTGTATGAGTTAATAATGTAATGAGTGAGTGTTTTGACTCTGCATTAATGTTGGTGTCATGATGGCATTGTCAGCATGTTATCTTGAGGTTATCTTGAGATGATTTCGGGGCTTTAGTGTCCCCGCGGCCCGGTCCTCGACCAGGCCTCCACCCCCAGGAAGCAGCCCGTGACAGCTGACTAACTCCCAGGTACCTATTTACTGCTAGGTAACAGGGGCATTCAGGGTGAAAGAAACTTTGCCCATTTGTTTCTGCCTCGTGCGGGAATCGAACCCGCGCCACAGAATTAAGAGTCCTGCGCGCTATCCACCCGGCTACGAGGCCCCTTCATGGTTATTTAATAAACTATGTGTGTGGATGGAATTATGAGGGAGATCATGATTAACATATTAGAAAAAGGTGTAAACATCGTGTACGGACCTAGTGTGTGAAATTGAAGTAGGTCATAACTGTACCATACCTGGAGAGGGTTTTGGGAGTTCTTCTGTTCCCCGAGTCTAGCTCGACTTGTGATAACATGGTCCATGAGGCTGTTGCTTGGAGTGGCCTGCAGGCCCACATATCCACTACAGCCTGGTTGGTCCAGCACTTCTTGCAAGAATATGTCTAAGTGCCTCTTGAATACATACACCTTTGATTCGGCAATATTTCTAATGCAGGTCAGAATTGATGGGGGCAGAAAATAAATCTTATAGAAGAGAGTGATAAAGATTCGTGTAAATTAGATGAAATTTTACTTGTGTGAGAAAAGATTATTAAGTGAAAATGCACCGAAGTAAAGTTTTGTTGTATAGAGAGGACATTGTGTGTGAAATTACAGTAGTGTGTGTGGTGAACTTGTTGGTCAGTTTACCTGAAATATGTGATTGATACAGAAGGAATCTGAGCAATCGATGGCTAGAGTAGGACAAGTCAGGTCAAAAAATTGGCTGATGCAGTGAATGCTCGGGCTAGGAAAAAACAATACCTGTATGGTAATAATAATTCTGTAATAAATATAATTTTTTTTTTGTCTTGAGTGACTGTTTTAAAGTGCTGTTACAAATTTATTTATTTATTTATTTATATATACAAGAGTTTTTACATTCTTGTAAAGTCACTAGCACACACAGCATTTCAGGCAAGTCCTTAATCCTAATTTTCACACAGACACACGCACTTCCCCAGGAGCATAAGGGTGAAAGAAACTCTGCCCATTTATTTCCACCTCCGCTAGTGATCATACCCGGACCCTTAGGATTACGAACCCCAAGCGCTGTCCACTCAGCCATTAGGCCCCCTTGCTCGAACATGAACGAAAAATGCTCTAACTTCCTGCAGCATCCCAAATACAATAAAATATTGTACAACCTTTAACCAATTTAGAGAGAAAAAGTACCTAGTTGATATTCTATAGTCGGTCTAAATCCTGTATCTACCACTCTACATAGGCCTAACATACCTTCCCCAAGAGCTTAAATTAGTAATAACCTAATAATGTTTGCTGTTACTTTGCCATCATTCTGTATTTTCTCTAAAATACTGTGTGTAGCTATAATTCTCAGCAAAACCATGTTTATCAACAGCAATAAAATTTTCAATAAAGTAGGCCATTTAGTATTAAGTATAGACTAAAGTAATGGTAAGTATTAGCCATTAGCCACAAAACCCATAAGTACAGTACAGTACCTGTAATATGTTAATTACTGTACTATTGTCAGGGACAAGAAGTCTGTACTTAGGCTTGTTGAGGTGCCCCCTATGCCGACTCTTGACATTTCCCAAGATGCAACCCACAACAGTTGCTTAAGTCTTGGTTACCAATTTACTGTTAGGTGAACAGATAAATCCAGTGAAAGCAAAAATGACCAACCATTTCTCTCCTACCCGGAGATCGATTCCAGGATCCTCGCCTGCGAGCTGAAAACGTAGATTGGTAACAATATCAACCTTAATTTTACATTGGTATTTTTTAATAAAAAAAGCTGTGTAGGTGCTAGTTGAATAGGCTAAGGAATCATTAAGCAGTAAGAATATTATAGAACATCTTGTAATAAAGCTTTAGGTATCACTTAGACTCAAATCATTTCATCCTAATTGATATTGTTAATTAACTAAGTTAATTATACAGTATTAACTTGTTATATATATATTTCAGGACATGCTATCTGGGCTGCTCAAGACAGCAGAAACTCTCAAGGTGAAAGGCTTGGCTGAAGTGTCGGGTGATCAACCTGCAGCACAAGTTGCCAACCCTATTCCGCCCATCTTACGGCTTGGAGTAAGATGCCGCCGCACATTTATTCACTAATATACTATTTTCATCTCCTGTATCAAATATATTTACTAATCAGTGAAGTCACTTTGAAGCACAGTCAAAGTTTCTTTATATTAATTTTCAATAATAATAGCTAGTTAACCCTTAAACTGCTCCTGTCCTCTTCGAGAGGTAGACCAATGATGCTCCACTCGCCTGTGGGAGATTTAATGTGCCTTGTAATATTCAAAAAACTAAAGATTCTGCTGGGACATCATTCAGCACTCGAGACCTGGAAATTGTTTGTCGTTTTGCTAAAAAAAAAAAAAAATCTCCTTTTCTGCCCTCCTTGGCGATTAGTACAATAACTGATGCCGTGTCAGGTGTATTATAATCCATTTACTGAAGGATGTTGTAGGAACTATTGATGATATGCAAAATTTCAAGGATTTTTTTTTTACCAGGAAGATATTTGTGATGACAAGAAGGTAAGGTAATTATCAGGAGGAAGCATAAAGTGTGTAATGACAAGAAATTTATTACATAGTTTACTTAAATTAATTTACAAATAATTGTTTTATGATATTGAATGGAAAACTATATATTTTTTATGCACACCAGGATATTGACTTAAAAATGTGTGTGCAGTTTGAGGGTTACAGAAAGTACAGTATAAGTGGTTAGATGTTGTGGGGAATGAGCAGTAGATGTATTAGTCTGTAGTTACACACAGAAATCACAATAACGTGACACATCAAATGGACAAATCCACAAGGGCCGTGACTAGGATTCGAACCTGCGTCCGGGAGCATCCCAGACGCTGCCTTAATAGACTGAGCTACGACATGGTAAAAGAGTTGAAACCGAAGTTCTGCTTAACTTACTGGATCCCGCAGCCTCTTTGAGACACAAACCAGGGTTTTACACAACTCCCCCATGCACTCGAGCTATGTCAATAGGCCGTTCTCCCTCTTCGCCCTTACATCATTACACACAGAATGATGTAATGATGTAAGGGCGAAGAGGGAGAACAGCCTATTGACATAGCTCGAGTGCATGGGGGAGTTGTGTAAAACCCTGGTTTGTGTCTCAAAGAGGCTGCGGGATCCAGTAAGTTCAGTAGAACTTCGGTTTCAACTCTTTTACCATGTTGTAGCTCAGTCGATTCAGGCAGCGTCTGGGATGCTCCTGGACGCAGGTTCGAATCCTCGTCACAGCCCTTGTGTATTTGTTCATTAGTCTGTAGTACTTATTAGATTAAATTAATAGACCATTTTCACGTAAGTAACCCAACCCACACAGAGGAAAAGAAAGTGAGGATGTTTTGGTCCATCCTAGAACCCTATCACAACTTGATAAGGGTCCAGAATGGACTGAAACATCATCACTTTCCTTTTATTTCATGTGTGTTGATTTGGTTATTCATTTTTTAGCTGAGTTATTATGACTTATTTTCTGCATTTTCATGTTGATATCAAGTATGGGCTGTTGTTGATTGTTGTTTTAGATTCAGCTACTCAGAACAAAAGTTGCAAGTAGCACGGGTTATGGTGAGCCCGTAGTGGACTTACTTGGCACCGGAGCGGGGCTGTGACTGCCAAATATGGGCTGCTTTTGACATTTAGGTGGTCCCTGTTATATGAACGCCCTTTATGCAAACACTTGTCCATCCGAACATCCTCCCAAGTCCCTAGTTTTGTGTCCCGATCCACTATACTGTATATATATATAATATTAAAATATAAACATACATACATACATACACACAAATCAATCAAAATGTCAACATGATGCACTAGTGTCACACTGTAACCCACATTTCCCCAGTCAGTAGTAATAGGATTACTCCCATAAAGAGCTAATCCTCTTTACTCCGAGTTCTAAACAAAAAAAAACCAAGGCGATTTCACGTGGAAGTGTCGGTGCAATTAGTATTGGCAGCAGAATAGTTGTGGTGTTCTTATCCTTGATGCTTGCCATCCCACAGCCATTGGCACGTTTCTTGTAGACTCTGTTTATTCCTTCACCTATTCCAAAATTGGTTTTTGCATATTATACAATATTGCTATTGTATAACATGCATAGGCAGGCAGACAGGCAGGCATGGAGTCTAGCATGCAGTCTGTAAAAGGCTGCATCTGTTACATGAATAATAATAATTGTATAATAATAATGTTTATTCAGATAAAAGTATACACATACAAAATGTGTTACAAATAGAATGTTGGATTTCTGGATAGAGCAAGTATGTACTATGCCTAAAGCAACTAATACATGCAGCGTTTTGGGCAAAATGCATGGTTCAGCCAGGAATCACAGCCTGGTTGATTATGTATCCTTTGGAGGTGTTTATCGAGTTCTCTCAAACACCATGAGAGGTCAGCCAGTTACGCTCCTTATGAGTAGAGGAGCGTGTTGAAAACCTTTGAGCCCTCCTTGATGTTAATAGAATACTCGCTTAGAATATTTATTTCACCTTTACTTTTCAATGGGATTATTTTGCACATCCTGCCATGCCTCCTGGTTTCATCTGGAGTTATTTCCATGTGTAGATTTAAGAGAATTAAACTAAAAGTAATGAAACAGTTTAAACACTTTTCCTTGATTTCATATATATATATATATCTCATACGTATTTAGGTTTCATTCTTCAGTAAGTGTTTGAGTATATGTTTTTAACACCAACTATTGTATTTTCTGGCATAAAAAACTTGCCTATTTTACAAGGATATTTTTAGTATATTTCATCATACATTTGTTGAAAGTAATTTTCAAGTGGTTTTGTATGAGAAACTATGATTTTGTGCATGTAAAAATACAATATATATTTATTTGGTGGTGGACTATAAGCATGTGTCCTATCCACTAGAAAAATGGTATATGCTGTATTTTTTATTTGATAATCAATGTGGCTTTGAATTTTATGTATAATTGAACATGGAATTAAATAAATATAAACCAGGTACGTGGTAATGGATTAGGCCCAAAGAAAATATAATTTGATCAAATTTAGTATGATGCTCAAGGCAGCCTTCCCGTCTCTATGATATACCATTTTACAGATTGTCCCCCATATCCCACGTTCTCAAGAAATATTACAACATACCCGGCAGGCTACACTCCCTCAGATGGCGCCACCAAACAGTTCTCCTTTAACTACTGCCCTCAACGCCCCCATGGTCACGCCGCCCACAGTCACCCCACTATCGGCACTCCTCAACCCATATGTAAGTTAATGATTTTGTCTCTCGGGTGTTACAGTATAGATTCACATAGTTGTTGCTCTTTCTCTTTCATTCAACTCTTTTTACTCATTTCTGTGAGTCTTTATCTTCATAAATTGTTATTAATCCTGTTATTCTTTCGTGTGATAAAATGATTTTCTAGAGTATGCTATTCGATACAGTACCTTTTTTTTTTTTTTTTTTTTTTTTTTTTTTTGAGATATATACAAGAGTTGTTAGATTCTTGTACAGCCACTAGTACGCGTAGCGTTTCGGGCAGGTCCCTGGAATACGACCCCCCACCGCGAAGAATCGTTTTTACAACCAAGTACCCATTTTACTGTTGAGTTAAACAGAGGCTACAGTTAAACATTTGCGCCCAGTAAATCCTCCCCGGCCAGGATACGAACCCGTGACAAAGCCCTCGCGGAATGCCAGGCGAGTGTCTTACCACTGCACCACGGAGACTTACATTGTATCATTGTATTTCTTTGGAAAGCTCCCCCTCAGTGGTTCCCTGTTCAAACCAAGACGATGCTCCCGGTTCTCAATGCCCCCCCCCCCCATTGTTTTCTCTTGGAGGTAACAACATGCTGGGTACAGAGAGTGTGTTCTTGGTTTAAACAGGGAACCACAGATGGAAGCCCTCCTAGAACAAATAAAAAATATGTAAGTATTGGATAGCATACCCTGAAAACAGTTAGGTGTAGGATAGCATACCCTGAAAACAGTTCGGTGTAGGATAGCATACCCTGAAAACAGTTCGGTGTAGGATAGCATACCCTGAAAACAGTTCGGTGTAGGATAGCATACCCTGAAAACAGTTCGGTGTAGGATAGCATACCCTGAAAACGGTTCGGTGCATTTCCTTTCCTGATGCCTCTTCACTCCAGCAGTAAAATAGGTACAGTACCCGGGAGTTTGACAGCTGTTGTGGGTTGCATTCTGAGGAAGGTCAGTAGTAAGCCTAAGGGGACCTCAATAATCCTAAGTACAGGCTTATTGTCCCAAACAATGAGAATTAATATGTTCAGAGGTGCATCATTTTGTTTGGGTTGTTTCTAAACATTGTATTGTTAAATATTGATATTTTCTTAATGTTGTCAAGTGAAAAATCACACACACATGAATAATCTTATCATTCCAAGGAATGGCTTTGTTGAATGGAATTCCTAGGAATTCCTTAAATTCCTTCCTTGGAATTGCATTGTTTATTTGTTAAGAGATGATAATCATGACAGGAGCCACTGTAGTGATATTAAAATGTTAATTTTTGTTCTCGGCATGTAAAGTGTTGTATCATCTGTTTAGTAAATCTTGAAGTACCTGTCTTGTATGTTTAAGTAATACACCAGTAGGAATTGGTCTAAAAATCTTAGGCTTTTAAAATATTTTTCTCCTCAGGGTATTGCCCTCGACGAGCGTAGAGTGAACCTTCTGAAACGCATGAGTCAGGAACACGAAGCTGAAGTTGGGAATGGAGGAGGAAGTAGTGGCGGTGGCAGAGGTGGTGCTGGCGATGGTGGCGGTGGTAATGGTGGCAGTGGTGGAGGCAGCGGTAGTGTCGGCGGTGGAATCAACAGTGGGGGAAGTCATGAGCCACCAACAAAAATGGCAAGGCATGAACCAGAAGAGCAAGAGTCTCCCCAGCTCCCACATGGCTCTATTTTTGTAAACACTCCAGAGAAAATATCTGTCAATTCCACAATGCAGAATGTCCTTACGCCGATTCCACACGAACTGACCGTCAATGCACGACAAGAGCTGCGTAAGTTTTTTCTATTGAACTTGTATTTCAAATTTTCATTTAATTTTTGGGTACGCCAATTAAGGTGCTTATCTCTCTTGTAGTATATTTTTTTATTTCTCTGGAGATGTTTGTGGCATATCTTGATCCCTGTGAGTGCAGAGAATAAGTCACAATAACAAGTTGACTTATTATTCAACCTGTCCTCTTAAAAAGAACGTCGCTTTTGACGGTTTACCAGTATGGCCGAATTTGGACGTAATTTGAAAATGAAAAAAAAGTGAAAATAAATTTGGAATTTTTTTTTCAACAACAGTAAGTTAAGGGTTCTCTGATAGGTTAGGTGGGCAGGAAATTCTCATAAAGTTTCAAAACGTTATGAAAAACGAGAATTTAAAGTGTCTTCTCATAACCTCTGCATGTAAGCCGGACAACTCAAATAGAAAACGGAACAGAACGTCACTTTTGTGAGTCGATTTCATTTCAAATTACGTCCAAATTTGGCCATAGTGCGCATACGAGCCAAAAGTGACGTTATTTTTAAGAGGACGGGTTGTATTATTAACTAGGCAGTTATGGCTGCCTATGGAGAACTCTCCTGCTTGATAGTGATCAAAATATATCAAGTTAATCGCCTATTTTTTAATTTCTACAGCTGACTTCTTGAAGTCTTACACCATCTTCAAGTTAAATGACTATTTGGGATTCCGGACCCGACAACAGTTTTGGGAAGAATCTGCCGTCCGACGCATTCTCGAGGGTATTAAGAACAAAGAAATAGACATGAAGAGTGCTGCTGAACTACTGGGCGTCTCGTATGGGACGCTTTACGGAAGATATCGTGAGGTGTTCGGCTACCTCAAGCATGCATGGGTAAGTTGATCAGGAAACTTTGGTTAAATTTTTATATAAACAAAAGTTAAATAAAAGTTTGGTTAAAAATTTTGTACCACATTATACTTTTTAACAAAGGTTTAAGTGCAAAGATTGATTGATTTACACTGTCCATTTTATGGGCCCTAACACCTTTTCTGTGGAGAGCTCCTCTGGCTCCTCGGAGTTTACTGGGCTGATATACAAGTATTAGACTGTGGCATCGGTCAATTTGATTGGAGTTCTTGCCTACCGGGGACCAAAAGCCAGAACCTGGCCCCCCTCAGAGAGCCACGAGGAGCAATGGCCTATAGAAACCCCCATGTGGTTGGAAGCATTCCATGTCTGCCATCGACCAGGTTAGACACCCAGAAAGGTAGGCATCCTAAAACAAACTCCACCTGGTTAAAAATTGATACCGAAAACCGAACTATCAAGCAGAACTCCCCAATTTGAAAATGAACAAACAAGCACGATGTCACAACCGCTGCCGCACCGCTGTTTATGCAGCTCCCTCCAGATCTTTCTCGCCCTCCAGAAGGGGGGAAGGGGGAGCCCCAGATCCCCACGCTGGCGATCTAACCCCAGTTCTGAGGCTGATGTGTTGAGCGGCGGTCGACAGGAAAGTCAGATCAGCGACCTCTTTCCCTTCTCAGCCCTTCCTCTCTGTCTTTTGGCCCTCCTCACCACCTGTCCGGGCCATTGTCCATCCTCCTCCTAGGGTTTATGTTGACCATTCCTGTTCTTCTCCTGTTGAGACTCGAGGCTGTCGCACAGTACATTGTTGATGGTACGCGCGTCTCCGTACATCAGAAACGTAAGGAGCCCCGATGGATAAGAAGGCTTCAATATATTTCGCATCTTCTGACTCCGACACTATCCATGCTTTCCCTCTCATTTCAGTGGCAGAGTCACCTGTTCCTGCTATGGAGGTTCCCCTTGGTCCTTGATTGTCCTGGATGCTGCCCTTGATCCAGTGCATTCTTTTGTTTCTGTCCTTCCTGGCCAGGATTCCCTTGATTGCCCCTCTCTGATGCCTCCTCCCACTCCGGACTCTCAGTCTGCCTCTGGTCCGTCCTCCTGCTCCCTTGCCTCCATTATCCTTGCTAGTATTGCCTATGCTCCGTCACCCCGATTTCACTGATCCTGGTCCTGATCTTCCTTAGTCTAGCGTGTTCTTCTTTGCCTTTGTTTCTCCCTTGTTATCTCTGTTTTTGTTCTCTTTTTTTTTTTTTTTGTCTATGTCTGTTCTTTAATGGAATATTCATGGTTTATATGCTAACTTCCATGAACTCCAACTTCTGATCACACAGTTTCCACCGCTTTGTGTTTGTCTCCAGGAGCTGATGCTTGGCACTCATCCTGGTCGCTTCCATGGTTATTCTTTTCTCTCTCACCCTCCAGGTTTTGCTGGGGCACATAATTCTACTGCTCTGATGATCTGTCATGATATTCCCTTCGTCTCCCTACTTTTTCAGTTGCCTATTCAGTGTTCTGCGTCCCGTATCTTTGAGTAAATGGTATACGGTCTGTTGCGTTCATCTCCCCCCAAATGTCCTGCTTTCTCTTCCTGATCTTAAATACTTTTAACTCTCGACATACCTCTGGGGAGATGTTCTGACAAACACTCGGGGCTGCCTTCTTGAACCATTTGTCCTCTCTTCTTCCATCTCTTCTGAATTCTGGTGAGTCCACTCATGTTGACTTCCACACTCTCACCCTTTCCTGTCTTGATCTTACTCTGCTCATCTTCTCTTTATTTCGACATCAACTGGCAGGTTCTTGATGACCTACATAACGATGACCAATTTCCCCATCCTTGTCACCTTCTCTTTTCACCCTCCCCTCTCCTTCCCTAGGTGGCAGTTTGCCAAGGCTGACTGGAACCTCTTCATCTTGCACGCTACTCTTTCCAACCTTTCTGAGCCTCTCCTCCTCACAGTTTTTTATGGTACCCTCGGCTCTGTTCCTCACTCTACCTCCCGGGGTGTGCAAAAGTGTGTTCCCTGGTGGAATTCAGACTGTGATCGGGCTGTCCACTATAAGTGTGCAGTCTGGAAGACACCGTCGCCAATGGACGCCCGATTCTTTTATTTTGTTTCGGAAGGCAAGTGCAGTGGCACGTAGGGCCATCCATATGGCTATCCTTGAGGGTTAGAATCTTTCGTTTCCACCATTACGTCTTAACACTCCTCTGCCCCTGATCTATAAGAAAATCTGCAAGATAGGGAGTAAGTTTGTTCCAGATGTCTCGCCAGTCCTTCACCTCCATGGTTCTAATGTGGCGGATCCGGTGTCGGTCGCAATCGAACTAGGTTTACACTTTTCGACTGTTAGCTCCGGTTCTTCCTCCTCCTTTCCTTACTCGTAAGTCCCCTTCTTGTAACTAGTCTCTTAGATTTTCGCACTCATCTTCAGCTTCCCTATAACGATCCTTTCTCTCTTAGAACTCCAGTGTGCCTGGTCCTCTGCGGTTCTATGAAGGTGGCTCAGAAGATATTAATTATGAAATGCTTTGCCATCTCTCAACATGCACATTTCAGTATTTACTGAAAGTTTATAACTATGTCTGTGTTAACTCGCAGACATTTAATGGAGCGCCGGCCTGCTTCTTGTTGTCCAAACGGCATTGTCCCTCTTACGGTCATGCAAATCCTTGGTGAATGTCCTGACTTCCAGGATGAGTGTGCATCTTGCTTCCTGACTTCCCCACTATGCATGCAACATCACAAGAAATAGTTGGGGCCTTGGGAAAGCCACTGAGCATATGTAACACCAAATCCTCTGCTTTTTTTGTGTGTTAAATTTGTACAGTACAGTAGTTGCAGACTTTTTTGTTCAATAAAATATATGCCCTTTATTCTTTGAAAATGAGATTTCAAGGCTTGCATGTGGGGAAATTTGCTGGATTTGTTGCAACTCTGGTTGCAATGAATTGGATTCAGTCCCATACAGTTTGTTGAATCGAGGTTGTTCTGTATATGCAATTAACACTGCCTGGCCCAAAGTCAGCCTGGTGTTTCCCGTGAGCGCACATCCGCACTAAAGTGTGTACACTCTTCAGCTTTATCACGTCAATTTTCATGTTATGTTGTTAATTTTGGTATAAAATTGTTCACAATAGAATTCTCTAAAGGGATATATGCATCCAAGGTAAAAGCAAACCCGGCGTGCCACCCGCAGCAAACCCGCAAATCAGCCGAGCGTTACCTATGAACGTGAGCATGCAACAGCACTAAAATGTGTATGCTCTTTTCAGTTTTCTCACCTCAATTTTTGTGCTTCATCGCTGATTTTGGTATCAAATTGTTCGCAATAGAACTCTCTAAAGGGATATGTGCATATAAGGGCAAAATGCCTGGCACGCCACCTACAGCAAACCCAAAAATCCGCCGAGCATTACCAGTGAGCAAGCATCCATCCACACACCCACAATTCCCACACTAAAATGTGTATACTCTTTTCAGTTTTATCACCTCAAGTTTCATGATATGTCGTTCATTTTGGTATCAATTTGTTTGCAATAAAATGCTCTAAAGGTATATTCATATAAGGGCAAAGGGAAGAACAACATTACCAATACCTTAAGAATAAAGTCCATCATCATGTGAAAATAACTGCTTTTCATCATTATTTATACTCGTTATTTGTTCCTGACATTATTTGTTACACTATTTCATTTTGTCTTGCTTCCTTCCCACATGTGTTTGTACCACAATATCATATGTATAAAAAAATTAAGATGTCTGTACTTACCACCCAATGATGATTGTCGAGCATGAGTTGAGCATTAGGTTAAACCACTCCACCTGCTCCTGGAAAATATTTCCTGAAGTTTCTCAACCCATGTTTTATAGGAGTGGATGGTGGGGTAAACATTACTGCTTATCCACCCAGTATGTTTTCGTGCGATGGTACAAGCCGGAGCATGGTGCAGGATTCGTTACCACACCACACACGACTTGCACTGATACCTGCTGTCCTTCCTTTTTACTAAACTCGTAGCAAACACCACACTTCAGACCTTTCTTGATGCAAACTATGGAATGGTTAAGTTTCTGTTCAGATGATCGGGTTTATCCACGATGCTAGGGTTTTTCCTAGCAGCAGCAGCACTAGGAGTAATCTGACCTCATCTTCTGAGTCTGATAATGATTATTCATTTCGTGGTAAAGAAGGGAAGAGTGGCCGCCTCAGACCTGATGGTCCAGACGGTCTGCTCTCGTCGTCATGTACATCACCAGCATTTATGATTTTGTCATTTTGGAGAGGCCAAGTCTTACACTCAAAGCTCAACAGTGATCAAATTATTACTTAGTGGAACGGGAGCAAAGAGAGTTTCTTTGTATCAGTTGTGTAGCACTTGTATAACACAAAAGCATTATGGATAGTCATTTGCAGAAAATAGAATGTGATTTTCTTCGTCCACTTGTGACATTTCCGTGTGAAATGATAAATATTTGACCATTTGGTCGAAGTGATCAACACCTTTCATGTTGTTATTGTAATCACAGATTGCCTTTGGTTTGTTCACAATGACCTGTTGAAATGAAGATGTTCCGTCAAGTTTGCATACACGTTTCCTTTGTTCCACTTCTTGTGTAAATGCATTGTGGCAAGTTTTGATGAGTGAAGCAACTTATCTTTCCACAGGATTATAAAAGTATTGTCTTTTCATCTGAATGCAGTTTTATCTACTGGCAGTTTACTCTTTGCTTGTAGCTGAAGATCTTTTGGTGCACCGTGCTGCAGTCTGAGAGTACCACAGGTGTATACACCTTGTTCAAGCAGCTTCTCACTAAGTTGAACCGTGTTATAGTAGTTATCCATATATATATGGTAACTTTTGTTCTTGAGTGGTTCAATCAAGCCCATAACTGTTTGAATTGTTGTCCTCCCAATTCCTGCATACATTTCAAAATCATAGATGTAACCAGTACGTGATTCAGTTAGCATTTACAGCTTTACTCCATACTTATCAGGTTTATTTGGATTATAAACCTTGAAAGCTAGACAGCCCCTCCATGACATTGTGCCGTCATCCACACACACACTTTTCTGAGGAATGTATAATGTTTTACATTTATGTGTTAGATATTCCATTATTGTTCTAACTTTTATTAGTTTGTCTTGATTGTCTTTGGGAATGGCATTATTGTTACGAGTATGAAAATACTTTGCAATCGTTACATATCATTTCGCCATCATAAATGTATTGAACGAAGGTTCTGCCACAATTTAGCTGTTTGCCAGTACATAGTCATTTCTGGCATCTTCACAATGCCCATCAACATTGTCAGTCCCAAATATCTGGCAAGCTCTTTTACACTCACTTCATCCCCCCTCATTGTTTGTGTTGTTAGGAGCATTGGACATGCTTTGTGATGCATACAAGTTGGTTCCTATACACAGTAGCATATATTTCAGCTAATCTCACATAATAAATAAGTGTAAAAATCCCAGAGGAGTGCTTGGTTACTGGTACAGTCAAGTCTGGTGTTCCAGTAAAACTGTCTACAGATGGTGCAGTGTTGTCAGTATACCAGGTTTCACCAGAACTGGTGCATGGAGTACGTGCGGTATGAGTGCAGGCCCTGCTATCTAAAGGCAGGGCCTGCACGGGTGGCGGTATAATCACCACCACCACTACCACTCCCCCCACTTTCAATTTCATCCTCACCTGCTGTTTCAGTTTCAATCACCTCGCTTTCTACATCACTGTCACTTTCGGCACTATCAAGCTCAAGATCAGAAATTCGTCAACTAAAGCTTGGAATTTTGTTGGTGTGAGTTTCAATTTCTGCTCTTTTGGCGAACGCTACTTAGCTTTTCCCTGAGACGTGTTTCTTTCCCTGCTTTCGTCATGGACTGGCTCTGTTCTTTATCGCTATCCATCTTGGAGTAACTGTAGTATTTATAAAGGCATTAACAAATATAGCTGAGGAAAAGTAACCAGAATGGGCACACGTTTTTGTGCGAGGGGAGGCCGCAGCAGTCACGAGCGTGAACACAATAACAATAAGCCTATTGCATGGGTGGTGGTGGTGCCATAATGCCACATGGACCATCACATAAAATGGGAGGACATTGGCGCACTTTTTAAAACGTCCCATAATCGGGAGGGGTGGGGGGGAATTTAACGAATATTTTAATTTGGGACGCAGTGTGCGTCCTCACCTTGACTGAGTATATTCATATACGAATGCATTATGAGTTATCAGCCAGGCAAAGTGTTAATTTGCTGTATGTAGATGATAGTTCTTTTAGCAGAGCAAAAAAGTGTTGGAGTATACAACCTAAACAATTTTATTGATGTGTCTGAAAGGGCACGTGAATGTAGGCAACAGTAAAGGTATTACATTATGGTGGAGAGAGATGGAAATTCTTTGTCCTATAAATAGTACCGGTGAAGTATTGAAAGTGGCAGAGCAGCTTGAATACTTGGGAATTATGACTGATAAAGAGAAATTTGTGCATTCAAAGTTTGGCGCAGAGTCAGTCGGGGGGAAGGAAGTGGCTGTTGTAGTGAAAATCCCTATTAGAAAAAAACAAGAAGATGGGAGTTCAGTACTTACATTTGGATGCAGCAAGTGGACTGCAAGGTGGAATTGCCAACTTACACACCTTTGCAAGGTGATGGTATGTTATGAATGGTAAGAGATCTTATTGAGTGACTCCCTTGGTTAAACCTCACTACTTTACTTTTGTTAGACATATTTTCTACTTGTTCATGGTGCATAAGTACATATACTGTAATCATCACTGAGGTGTCACTGGGTGTTAGGGTGACTACAGATTTGGTGGACTGTTCAGCCATGTAAACCTTCTAGAAAGCCTAGAGAGATTTTACAGCATTACCTTTTGAAACAAAACTGTTCAAAATTTGCCAGCAATTATGACATTAGTAGAGGGGCCTGACAGCTGAATGGACAGCACTCGGAATTGTATATAAGTATACTTGTAAGTATAAGACGATAGGTATATATATAACGAATGTATGTAGCGAATAAAAGCAAAAAACAGTATAGTGGGACGAGGAATTTGACTAGTGAGGAGTTTTTGAGGGAATGAGTGGTGGGGAGTGGCTGGCTGGCTGGCAGATGTGGCCACTCATCGTTGCTTTTTGACTCGCATTATGAACTTAGTGGTTCGTTATGGTGAACAAAACATGCAGATACTTATATACAACCTATGTATATAATGTAATAACCGACAAAGTATTTGTTCACTGTTTTATGAACGTAATAATTGAATCAATAATATGCACACCATAATTTTAAGTACAGCGATGATTCACACATTTTATTATATAAATATATCACACTATACACTATTGAATAATATTACAGCAAAAAAACTACAAAAAAATCAATCAGACATTGAAATAATAACGTAATTATGTCTTTGTGGCAACTCCGACAGCTGGGGCGAAGCAGAACTTCCCCGACGCTTGCTGAGTCAGCGTCTCTTTTTTGCCAGACTTCCCTGACCTATTGCAGCCAAAATATGCCACTTTTTTATGCCTTTTATTTTATTTTTTTTGTTATGCACCTGTGGGTGACAAAGGCCAAATAGCCCTTAGCATAGCAACACAAAGGTTAAAGGTGATGATGCATGGACACTGGTGAACCACCAACATGTATTTTAATGCATTAGTGGTGCTGTTCATACTATGGATACTTCAAAATTGGTTTGTAGAGAAGTATAAGCGACTAAAACGTGGACTATGACACTGTTCACATGATTGGATCCATTGTAAGTCTGATGTTTGTAAATTGAGAACCTTTATCCTATTACAATAAAGCATTTATTACAAAAACCTGTTATCTCAAATTATATTTATTGCTAAAAGCATAATTTTCTTTAAATATACTTGGCTTGCACAGTGTACTATGAGAGCTTTGTAATCCTATTTCCATTCGCCTGAATCTAGGTAACTTGAATGAATTCATGTTCATTATTTTCTGGTAAACAGTGGGATTAAGTAGGTAAACAGTGGGATTAAGTAGGTAAACAGTGGGATTAAGTAGGTAAACCATGAAAATGTATGGGTAAATGGCAGTAGTATACAGTTGTGGTACACCAAAAAAAAAAATCATTCCTGGTAAGAAATTCTGGCAAGTTTAATGTTTAGCTAATTACAAATGGGGATGAATCCCCATATAATTCAAATTGCTGAGCTTAGATAGTGTTCAGATGTCAAGCAAGTTTGGTAAATTGATGTGTCATTGTTTATATATGGACAGCCTGTTCAATGTGATCAAAGTTAAGCAAGTAAATTATTTACACTTTATAAAGTGTTCAATTCTGTCATGATCAGTCTATAAATTATATCAAATTCATCAGTGTTTCTATTAGGAAGAGTGTTTATGTTTATGAAACTATATATTTTATACTGGCTAATGCTAAAATATTTTGCAAAATACTGTATTCAAATTCTTTTATACATCTCTGTGAAAGGTTTGAACATTGTTTTTATGCTGTATTGCATGTTGTATTGTTTTATTGGGATTTTATTTTTGTACATGGTTGTTGCAGGTCAATAAGCAAGGACGTGGAGGCTCGTCACAAAAGGAACGTTCAATATGGGAAGAGTCCCGAGCCCAGGAGCTGATCCAGCATGTTCTCAACAAAGAGCTCTCTCTAACAGCAGCAGCAGTCAGACTTGGTGTGGACACAAACACTTTCTTTGCACATCTTACAGACAATGGTAAAAACAAGAGTCGCGTGGCTCTCCTCCTTGGCACGGACACCAACAACTCGGATAGCTCCTTCAATGTGAACACAAATACTAATCACAGTGAAGATTCAAACTCTGCCAATGCATCCTCAGTCGATCTTGTGGGCGAAGATTCCAACCCTGCTGATAATGGTGGTGGACAAGGAAGTGATGACAGCAACATGGAGTGCCTAGCAGAAAATGGACGAATCGAATCTGAAGTGAACGGAGAGAAAGACGACAATGAAGACCCCGAAGTTATTGACGATAATAACCAGACAAGATCCACAGAGCAGCAGATTCTTGGACTACAGGAGATGAGTGCAGATGAAGGTGTAGATGAGCAGATGACTGAGGATCAACAGGAAACCACACAGCAATCCTTGGAAACCTTCCAGTCCATAGTTGAGGATGATTCCAACAATTTGTATGCGGATGCCTCGTAAATTTTGCACCGGAGTGTTTTTTGCCTTTAGACTCAAAGCAACCTGGCACAAATATCTTCATAGTTTTCTCTTGATTAAAAAAGTATTTTAAGTGAGCTTTAAGGTCAAATTGTGGTTATAGAGCAAGTACAGCTCAACTATTTAAAACCTGCAATTGTGTTGGATGAGAAGTAGCTTCCTCAACACCGTGCATTAAGGTGTGTAAATCTGAGGGCTATTGGATATCTGTGTTGGAATTCTGCATGGCAAAGCAAAAGGCATTTTGTTAACCAAAAGTTATACAGAAATAATGAGTTGAGTAGGATGTGAGCAAAAGCGTGTTTTTGATTAGATGTGTTGCTACTAGTTTGTTGAGTGTTTATTAAAGCGTTTGACTGTTGGAAAGTACTTTAGAATAGATTAATGCAAAGTTTATGTATTGTTTATTAAGGTTGGGCTCAAAATGTGACTAGATGAAGCTCAGAGGCATTATCCTCACGCCATAGAGTTTGTTATGGTACAAGTAATGGTACAAGGCTAGACGTTTTGTGAATGGATTTTGTTTTACCTGATACAGCAAAACTAGTTTTACACTAAGAGACCTAGATAGAAACTTGGCCCTGTCTTTTCACCATCACAGTGAGTTGATGGGAGTTGTGAATGAGGGTAGAGTCAGGCCAAAGTATAGTTTTACAAATGTGACGGCGTAAATCAACCGAAGATGTGAAGGAGTGCCATGATTTTCATAATGATTTTCATTATCAGGTCATAGTGTATAAGGTGATGGTCACTGATATTGTGCAATTTAGTTGTGGTGATGCTGTGAAAAGCTTGTGGAATGACACAGTATTTGACCTGATTCTATAATCATTTTATGTGTATTCTTAACATTTTTATATAAAAATACTTGATACAAAGAAGAACCAGCTTCAGGACACTTTTTGGAGTCTTCGTGCACTAAGAAGAAGAGTTCCACAACACAGTAATTAGCTATTCTTGAACATTTGTGCTTGTTTTACATCAATTCTGCATCTCAAGTGATGTTGCTAGCAACGAGCAGCTAATGCAACATGCCTTTGACAGTTAGGTCGAAGATTGTGGCAATTTAAACTTAATATACGAACCCCCAAAGATTTGCCTAAAGGATAGATGTCCTAACGGGCCATGTAATGGTTCGTGCCTTAAATAAGGAAGCCGATTATTATTATTATGTTAATGTAAAGAATTTTTATACCAGTGTTTAATATTACTGGTAACTATAATAGGATATTTTTCAAACTTGTAGACTGTAAATTATAATGTGGTAGTTAGTGAAACCAGAGAGAAAAGTATCTATGGATAATGTGTCTTTTTAGTAATTTAATGTTTTAAAAAAAAAAGTATCCTTATAGTACTTTGCTGTTCCATAGGTTCAAATATATCTAAAAATTCTCTAAACCCATCCAAATCTTTCTTGAAAATGATGTTTATTCTTCCTTGTTAATTAATTGGCAGGACTGCTACTAGGCTGTTAGCATAATTTTGTTCTGTTCATGGTCAGACAGAACCTTCTTCATCAAGGTACCAAACCTGTAGATTGTTTTCCTCTGTGCTGCATCAGATACAGAAAACTGTAGAGTCGTTCATGCAGGTTTCTCGTGTTCTAACACTATGGAAAGACGTCATTGGGGAACACTGTGGAAAGACATTGGTAGAGTGGGGGTGGGATCAGATATCTGTGGCTATTTGCTATGGATTGAGTTTTACTGTTATAGCAAGGAAAGTTACCACTCTGGTATATGTAGCATAATTTGTAAAAAACAAACCTCAAAACTTATCATATGTTCTGAATAGCATATTTTTACTGGGAATTACATGTTGTACTGGTCCCATAGTTTAAGATACACAGCATGGGTTTGCATGTATGCACTGTGTTCGTAGTTGTGCATTCATATTTGTTGTTTCTATGTTGACTTGTATTGATTGTTACCACTTTGCTATTTGAGCTCATGAGACCAAGGAATCTTTTTATTTCTTCACGTTAGAAATTTTGACTGCTGCTGCCAATGGAGCCGACATTCCACGGAAAGGGGTGTTGATGCTTTCATTGAAGGCTCGGATCGAGTCGGAACATTGGTCATGGTGCGCTATTGCACACGTCAGATACTTTCCAAAGAACAAATGTGAGAATGCCAATGTCGGATATATTGCAGTTGGCAGAATAGATACATAATGGTGAAGCTGTGCTGATAAGTTAGTTAATAGGATATAAGGATTTTTTCTACTGTGTCTATAACTAACATTTCAACAAAACACATTTTATTTCAAACTGTTGTTAGGTTCTACAGTATTTTGCCTTGAAAAGTCTTGTACACAATGTTCCTGTTTTATATTTTAAATTGATTTATTATCATATTTATCACACATAATATGCTGGTATGCACATTACCATACCTGGCTTATGTTTTGCACATCAGTGCAAGGACAACCATATATGCAAAACAAAATTTTATTACTATGTACCATGTAAAGAAAGCGTAATTTTAAACCCCATATAATTTCTTAATTCCAAATGAATCAAAACTTTAGTATGTATCCCCCACATTATATAACTTGTTTATATAGATTTAGAGTTTTGTTTATACCACCCCCGGGCAAATCTGGGCAAACGATGCTTATGCAACATAGAATCAACGTTAATACTTTGATTTTACGTTAGTTGAACGTTACTCGATTGTGTTTTGTCCGCTGGGTTAATTGCTCATGAGGAATAGCTTGTTTGATGCTAGATGTATTCTTTGGAGTAGTTATTATAAATGATTATTAGTATGATCTGAAAGTGTGATGCTTTGCAGGTTGATTAATACATAACAAGTGCAGGAGTTGGCAACTGTGTGTTTGCTTGTGTTGGAATATTTTGTATTTAGAAACTATGGATGTTATTCAGATGGTATTCAGACAGCTAGAAAAGAGCTTGGAGATGGCTAGTCCACTATCAAGTAGACAAACAAGTGTTTTGATCAAGTTCTTCACTGTGTTACTGATAACATGCGAATTGTGTACTGGGTTGAAAATATGTACAAGTAGAATTGAACACTTGTGTAAACTTTTTTAGTCTTTGATTATTTAACTGTACAGAGGCCGTCTTACTTTTTGAATTATTATTTGAAATGTCGATTAATTTTTAGTCCAGGGGTTACCTCCTTCCCATGCCAACCACATGCAAACATGCCTGAGAAGCTAGGCTTAGTGTACTGGGCAATCGACTGTGCTGCCATATATTCAGTGGAGACGGAGAATTGATAGGCTCGGAATTGTTTCTGGGGTCAAGTTAAAATGAAGCTGTAGAAATTGACAAGCATCATTGTAATAGCTGTGATGTAGTTGTCAGCCACACACGTTGATATAAAAACAGTCAACTGTGTTGCATATCACTGCTAATTCTTTGTTAAAGATTTACAATCAGGCTGGCTGGTGGTTTGTTTATTTGACTGCTGCCATAATAGCGAGCTGGTTGGTTATATAGCTGGATAATCAGTTATCTGGCTGCCTGCCTGACTGATTTGTTGATCATCCTGCTAGAAGGGTGATACTGTGTGGGTCAATGAGGACATGAGCAAGCCACTCCCGGAAAGCACCGTCATCCCTTTATTGATACCCATTCCTGATGCATACCAACAGTCGACACCCACCGACCTTCCTAACACCTGCCAACCCTCCCAACACCCACCAGTGAGTGAGCGCATATTAGAGAATTTGTCTTTTACTTTGAACTCATTTTGAATGGGATGCCGTGTGAACTAGCAATGGAAATCAAAACACATTTACAAGAGGGAGGTCTCTTGAGCAGACAACAACAATGCCATACTGTGCATCAGAGCGGCAGGTCATGCTACACCGGAGCCGAGGAACTGGCCGGCCGAGCGGACAGCACACTGGACTTTTGATCCTGTGGTCCCGGGTTCAATCCCAGGCGCCGGCGAGAAACAATGGGGAGAGTTTCTTTCACTCCTGTTACCTAGCAGTAAAATAGGTACCTGGGTGTTAGTCAGCTGTCACGGGTTGCTTCCTGGGGGTGAAGGCCTGGTCGAGGACCGGGCCGCGGGGACACTAAAGCCCGAAATCATCTCAAGATAACACCAACACGCGTGCTAATATCTGAATTTGTGAACGTATGTTATTCTGTTGGAGCTTTGATAGTAAAGAAGAGTGGCACTCATTCCAGAACTCATGTCTCTTTAATTTGAGACTTTACAGTACACTATTGTGGTGTATTTATGGACATCAAATGAATATTTTCCATGGGTGGGAGGATACACAGTTATCCAAATAAATAGTTTTTCTACCAATTTTAGTCCATAACCATTTGGAAAGCAAGACGGCCTCTACTTTTTTATGGCTATAGCTAATATTTTCAGTTGTTTTGTATCCAGACTTTTCTCTCCATGTTGAAAGGTTCGTTGTGATAGTTATGCCTGGTGCGTACAAATGGAAAAATTTTCTGCTATTTGAGCATGTTATATGTTGTGTATAGATTTTCTTTTCTTCAGAGCTTAGCTTTTGTGTGCAATTCTCTATTATGGAATTTAAATGATGCTGTTTTAGTGAACTGATTTATATTCTTATACAGCCCATCCTCCTGTTTTGGTACTACTTATAGTAACAATGAGGACCATAGTATATATACCGACGTACAGCGAAATTAGAAAGCAGAAATCTGAATTATTGAGTTGGACAAACCGGGAAAACTATTTTTCATGTGTTGCTTTGACAAACTAACCTAACCTTCCTAGGCCTAATATAGTAAATGTGTGTGTTATACTAGGCCTAGGAATATTTAAGTTTGTTTTTAGTTTCATTTATTTTTAAAAAGAACTCCTTACTAGTCAGTATACCACTATCCAAAAGTTAAGTACGTATGAATTCACGACTATTGACGGCAGTCACAATAGGTACTTTCTAGACAGTAGGATGGGTTATCTTATATCAGTACAGATACTGATAAACAGTCATAACAATTTATAAGTTTTTGTTACCTTCCTCTGCCTCTTCCTCTTCAATTTGGTATTACAGGTGTTGTTAAGACATTGAGTTTGTCGTAATATTGTTTGCACGAATACACTTCATTATTTAGAAAATTTGGATGTTGGAAAAACTTGTCCATTATTTAGCCTTCTGTCGGTACGTTTCAGTATTTGTTTCCTCTCCGAAGTGGCCTTAAACCAGGCGTGTGAGATGCAAGACACACCAAAGCACGTTCCAGAAAACACAGCAACGAGCCTTCTCTCTCCTACAACATATTTCTGTAGTGTTAAATGTAAGATGCTTCATTTCATGTGTGGCACAGACCATTTAATGTATGGTACACACCACTTTATTTAATGTGTGGCACAGACCATATAATGTATGGTATGGACCACTTCATTTAATATGTGGCACAGACCATTTAATGTGTGGTACAGACCATTTCATTTAATGCGTGGTACAGACCACTTCATTTGATGTGTGTCACTGACCACCTCATTTGATGTGTGTAACGGACCACCTCATTTGATGTGTGTCACGGACCACCTCATTTGATGTGTGTCACGGACCACCTCATTTGATGTGTGTCACGGACCATCTCATTTGACGTGTGTCACGGACCACCTCATTTGACATGTGTCACGGACCACCTCATTTGATGTGTGTCACGGACCACCTCATTTGATGTGTGTCACGGACCATCTCATTTGACGTGTGTCACGGACCACCTCATTTAATGTGTGGTACAGACCACCGCATTTAGACCTGGTTGTTTCCATGAGGCCTTGGGAGTAACTTCTAGTGGTATGTCGGAATTAGCCATATGGAACATGCTGAGCCTAAAATTGGTGGTTTTAGTGAATAAATATATATATATATATTTTTTTTTCTGTTATATGGTAAGTCAATGTTCATACACTTCAAAATGCCTTGTTCCTTAGGGTGCCTTAAAGCATATTGTATATTACTATTTTTTTTAACAAACTGGGACACCTTGAGGTAAACAATGGGTAATTAAGGCCTAATTAGCCATTATGTATATCATTGTAATCGCAAGATACGAAGTGGATCACATAGTCACTAATTCTAACACATTCTAAGGTAATTTGCAGATTTCTCAAATTTTCCAACTGTGAACTCGACCAAAGTATTAATATTTAATTTTCATGTACTAGCTTTATCCGATACTGTGGCAGGTGATATTAACTTCACTTCAGTGAGTTTTGTTTCGTGTCGTACGTAATAGCCGAAACTATTTTATTAGGCCTAGTAGGCAAGGTTTGTTTTGTGTAATAACATACCTATTCTTATCTAAACAAAAATATATTCAGATTTTTATGGATAGATATACTATTGGTAACATTTATTATCAATTTTTTAGGCCATGTTTTACTTATGTTAAGCAGAGTTTTGGGATAATAGGCATATTTAGGTTAGATCGAGTTGCTAAGAAAGGGTTGGTCGGGTCAGGTTGCCGAGTAAGGTTGGCCTAAACAAAATGGACCTTGTACATTTAACTAGAAATATACAGTATATTAGTACATTAGAATAAATTGGTTAGAATGTTAATTTTTAAGGAAATTTGGCTTCTTTGGCAAGTTTGCCTATTAGGTATAACACATGTACATACAGTACATATGCAGAAATACATGTATACAGTGTGTGTGTGTAAAAAAAAAAAAAACATAACGACACACACACACACACACACACACACACACACACACACACACACATTATACATATTGTATATACATGCGCGCACACCAACCCATCCATATGTTTGTACTTTACTATGCTGATATATGTATAGATTAAATTCATTAACATAAATTATAAGTACAAAACAATGACAACAAATATGCAAACTCAACCTAACCCAATCTAGGCCTAATCTAACCTAAGGAATAGGTTAAAGTATGTTAGGTAAAGCCTAAATTAAATAAGGATGGGTTTTTATATTAGTTTTTCCCATCCATTTTAATTTTTATTTTCTGATTTTGTTTTATTTCTGTAATTTAGATTTTATGCCCGACTGTTTAAACAAAATCAACTTTTTCAACATTCATAATGGTATAGTACCAACATTAAGGATGTAGTGACACAATTATACTCATTAACACAGTCAACCATGTGCTTTCAGAGACACATTTCTAGGATGGACATTTTTTCCTTTTTAGGTTGTCCAAAAAACTAAGTGAGATTATGAGAGCAGAACTTGCCAACTAGCAGCTCTAGACACTATGCAACTGCTTTGTTTTGGTGTGTGATGTGGCACTTAAGTATTCATTCTTCTTGTATGTCACAATCGACTTGAGAATGGTCCAGGACGGACTGAAACGTCATTGTCCCTTCACTTTCTAGTGTGTGGTTTGGTCAACATATTTCAGCCACGTTATTGTGACTCCTCATCTGCATCTGTCTGGGATTATCACAGAATTGTCGAAATATCTTTACACAATGTCAGTTTTGTGTTGATCGAGATATCTTCATGTAACGAACTCAAAGGGAATTGTTCATGTGACATTTGTAGAGGTGATAATGATAGGTGAGAGTTGCATCCATTGGTGTGTGCTGAGTAACAAGCGGGCAAGGCAGTTCTTCCTGATATTTTGAGGGCTAAATCTAGCATCTTTGATTCACCAATACCGAATTAACTTGTGCCACAAAACCCTTACAAGGTGCCAGTTGCCATCTGCAATTACCTCTTGTATTCTAGTTTCCTTGTGCAATTTTTTACATTAGTTTTGTGAACTATTTTTTTTTTTGTCATGTAATTACCTTAAATGTAGAGCTCTTAATTAGCCAAGCCATTTAAGGGTTAATGTAATAGAAACCTGCACCAAACTGTCAACTTTCAGGGCGATTGGAAATTTTGCTCTTTCCGTTGTTCCTTCGACTCGTAGCTCTTGATAAAGTTCTCAGAGAATCCAATTTGTTTTACATCACTCCTCTTTCTGCTCTTGTATTGGTAGGCTGAATCGTACCAAGGAACTCTAGACTATACTGTAACAGTGCTCTAAAGTTTAGCAAATCTAAGTGCTCTGGATAATTACTTTAAATTTAATTTTTGTTCTCACGAATGTGATAAAGCGATAGACGATAAAAATGGTAGGCTTGTAGTTCTTGGAAATGGGAAGAAAATTTTTCTGGTCTGTAAATATTTATGAGCAGGGTCTCCATAATGGTGGCAGGAGCTTGAAAAAAATAGTGGTGCCCAGAAAGGAGATAAGAGAAGTATGACATTAAATATACATGGAAAAATACTGGATGACCAGGCCCCAAATTTGTACAATAAAATAACACACTGGAATGAACGCTGTGGTAGGAAATGCAGAATAGCCAGTGAAAAGTAGAGGTGCCACAAGCACAATCAGAGAACACTGTACGAACATCAGAGGTTCAATATCCTCCAAGCAAGTACTGTATAAGAAAAATTGCAGAACAAAAGTGGACTTCAAGAAAAAATGAGTTTTCTGCAAGAAGTGCCAGAACAACTAGACTGTAGTGGATTTATGGACCTGCAGGCCACACCAAGCAACAGTGTGTTGGACTAAGCCCTCACAAATCAAACCTGGTTCGGGGAATTCAAGAACTCCCAGAACCCTCTCCAGGTATTATGTACGTAACAACAGGTGGTATCAGGCCCCTCGGTTATTTATTGCACACCAGACAAATGAACTCGACACATACCACCTAGACGTCTATGCACTATCATCAATAGTCATCAAATTCGTAAAAGGATCGGCCGTTACACTATTGGTGAGTACAAATTTACTCATTTTTACTTTATACTGAATAATTATGGAAGATGACCCAGTTTTGGTCGTTAACCTGAGGTGTCTGGAAAGCAAGTTATTGCCTGTGTATTTAGTTTAGTTATATATACAGTATATTTATATATAAACACATGATGAGGTTGGTAAAGCAATGGTTACACGTTTTACAGACCCGAGTTAATTCCCATAAGATCAAAGTGAATGAAGTGTTTTACTCAATACTGGGGATTTACAATACACACACAAACACACACACACACACGTGGGCTATTTTGATTAGTAAGTGCTCTTTCTTCCAAAAGGATACACAAAAAACATAAATGTGTATTTCTATCATTTAATGTCTTTTAAGCCCATGGTACCTTGTAGTCTAATATCATAGTTTATCATTTAGTTTCTAAGCAGCCCACAGAGTACAAACACTGCTCACAAATGTTTCTTTGCCTATAGAATTCCATTTGTTTTCTCCATGAGCAGCAGCATGGGCTGCTTTTTACATTGTTCAACTTGGCATAGTGGTCTACATTGTTGGCTTACAATTGAGGTACCTGGGTTCAATCCCTTGACAGGACAGAAATCGTTACGCACGTTTCCTTTCACCTGATGTGTGTATTCACCTAGGAGAGTTTGGCAATTGATGTGCCATGCATCCTAGGGGATCCCCAATTAATTTTGTTTAATATTTTTTGGATGGGTACAGGAAGCCTGTGAAAATATATTATATATACATATATGTTGTACCTAGTAGCCAGAATGCAGTTCTTGGCCTACTATGCAAGTCCCAATTTGCCTAATAAGGCAAATTTTCTGGAATTTTAATATTTTTCTAATTTTTTTCTTATAAAATGATAGTTATTCATTTAATTTTGTATGAGCTAATTTTTTTTAATTTGAGTTAAAACTAACGTAGATATATGACCGAACCTAACCAACCCTACCTAACCTAACCTATCTTAATCTAACCTAAACTAACATAATTAAATCAATAATTTATGTTCTAATATACTGTAATATAATAATAATACTTAAAATAAACCAATAAGAAATAATTTATTGAAAATACTGTAACGAAAATCATTCGGCCTATTAGGCAAATCAGGCCTTGCCTAGTAGGCCGAGAAGTGCATTCTGGGTACTAGGTATGACATATATATATATAATGTCGTACCTAGTAGCCAGAACGCACTTCTCTGCCTACTATGCAAGGCCCGATTTGCCTAATAGGCCGAGTGATATTTTTTATTTTGAATAAATTGTTCCCAATTAGTTTATTTGAATTGTAATTATTATATTATATTAAGAACATAAATTATTGACTTAGTTGTGTTAGTTTAGGTTAGGTTAGGTAGGGTTGGTTAGGTTCGGTCATATATCTACGTTAGTTTTAACTCAAATTTAGACAGATTAACTCATACATAATGAAATGGATAGCTTTATCATTTCATAAGAAAAAAATTTGAAAAATATATAAATTCAGGAAAACTTGACTTATTAGGCAAATCTGACCTTGCATAGTAGGCTGAGTACTGCATTCTGGCTACTAGGTACAACATATATATATATATATATATATATATATATATATATATATATATATATATATATATATATATATATATATATATATATATATATATATATATATTATAATGTGTGTGTGTGTGTGTGTACAGTATAAGCAAAAAGACGTCAAGAAAGGTCGGTCTTATTTCGGCATATCCAAGCCTATCACATTTGAAAATGGAAAAGTAACGCCTTAGAAATTTCAAACCCATTTTTTGTTTTGTTTTGTTATTAAAGGACCCTAAAAGGGTTTGGAAATGTTAAGGCTTTACCACATGTGAAAATGGAAAAGTAGTTTTGGATATATATATCATGCCAAAATTTTATATTGTTTATGAATCCATGGCCATATTTGAAGGTTAGTTCACGTACCTATGTATATTAGGAGTTAGAATATGAGGTACTTGACAGTGTCCATCAGTATAAGGTGTGCATATATTCTCTCTATATGCACAATATTACTGTACAGTATGTATATACTGTACACATACACAGTATATTCCAGTATGTGTTGTACCTAATAACCAAAGTTGTCTTAAGAAGCCAAATTTCCTTAAACTGTACCAGGTATATATAAACAAAATTAAATTTTATTATATTAATAGATATTTTTATTTTAATAGTTCATGTTAGATTTGTTATAGTCTAAAACTGATTGACCAACCTAATGTTACCCATATATGCCCATTATAACTCTGCTTAAGGTGAAACTATGTAGTATAATCAATTAGTAATTAATGTTATGAATGTAATTTTTCATTAAAATGTATTTTTTAAGGATATATATATAACAAGTTTATTAGGCAAAACTGACCTTACCTACCAGGTTGAGTTGCGCAACCACTTAGATTGGATGGTAGAGTGATGGTCTCGCTTCATGCAGGTCGGCGTTCAATCCCCGACCACCGCAAGTGGTTGGGCACCATTCCTCGCCTCTTTCCTTTCCCAAATGCTCATCCTCGTAGCCTTTCTCAAGTGCTACGGTGTCGCAGTGGCTTGGCACTTTCTTCTGATAATTCTCTTACCTTACTAGGTCTACTAGAGCAGTTCAGGCTATTAGGTGTCATATAATGTATACAGTTGACATAAACAGTACACATGCATGCATATACATACATACATACATATACATACATTTGCAGGCGATGAGTCACAATAATGTGGCTAAAGTATGATGACCAGACCACACACTAGAATGTGAAGGGACAACGACGTTTCGGTCCGTCCTGGACCATTCTCAAGTTGATTGTGTTCCAATAGGGAACGTGAGCTGGGTTTAGACCGTCGTGAGACAGGTTAGTTTTACCACAATCGACTTGAGAATGGTCCAGGACGGACCGAAACGTCATCGTCCCTTCACATTCTAGTGTGTGGTCTGGTCATTATACATACATTCACAAATACATTCATAATGTTTTGTTTTGAAATTATATTAGTGCTTTGTAACTGCTAATGAGCAAATTGCAATTTTTGTTGTCACTGATGTGGCTATAATGATGTGTTGAGTTACAGTATTTTGACAGCTATTGGGATGGTCTGAAATCAAGCTCATTGTGTCTAAATCGTGTTGGTTTTTTAAAGACAGCAATTTGGTATGACGTAGAGTGAAATATTAAAAATCGAACATGGAACATTTGACATTGATTAGTGCAACTCCACTAGTGAATTTTTTTTCTTAGATTCAGTATTATTTCAATGATGTTGATGTGTGATTATAATCTGAAAGTATAATGATGCACCACGTGTGTGCGTAGACTGTTAATCCACCCATTAATATTTGAACTGAGGAATTTACAGTACTCTTAGGGCCACAAGTCCCCTGGGCAAACGACATTGACGTAACATTGAATAAGCGTTGATAACATTGAGCGTACGTTGATTTAACGTTACCAGAGATATTTTTGCCCAGTGGGAAGCTGTCACATATGTAGTATTATTATTAAGCCTTTACACTCAATGTTTACCAAGCCAGTCAGTGTCATCCAGTTCATTGCTCTTAAATTATGGTGTTTCATGTTCGTTTTTTGCGTTTTGACCCTATGAGAAACTGAAACCCTGTAAATATATTTTTGTCTAACAACCCACTATCATCTATGGGTATGAGGGGTCATGTATGTTTATCTTTAGGTTCTTTTGTCAATAATATGTATGCATATAAATATAATAAAATTTTAATGAAATTCAGTGTCTTATTAATGAAGAAAAGCCAGAACTTTCACATACACATGCATCCCTACTGTGAAGAGATGAGGAAAGACCTGTGTCTTGCATTGGCTCCGAGTATTATCTAAGATCCGGTTTCTGGCCATATTTCCTGGCTGGTGTAACATTCATCTCTTATGGAATTTAAAATAAATTTTGACTAGTTATTTGCAGTGTGCATGTAACACACAATTCCTGTTTGTTGGGGACAGGAAGCCTGTTCTTAGGCTTTTCTGAGATCCCACTAGGCCAACTACTGACCTTCCCCAAGATGCCACCCCACAACAGTTAACTAATTCCCAGGTGTCTATTTGGTGCTTGGTGAATGGAGGCAGCAGGTGAAGAAAAATGTGCTCGGCCATTTCTGTCCCACTTGGGGATTGAAGTCGGGATCCTCGATTGCGAGTCGTGGACGTAGACCGCTGTACTACAGTACGCAGTTTGCAACCTCACAAGTCATATTGTGAGGCTTGCAAACAGGCTGTGAGAGCTTGTTGGCTTGTGAGAGCTTGGTCCAATAGGCTGTTGCTTGGAGTGGCTTGTGATGTGTGTGTGTGTATATATATATATATATATATATATATATATATATATATATATATATATATATATATATATATATTACACACACACACTTTAATATTTTCTTATCATACCACCCCTATTTTTTTTCCTTAAATTTTTAATTTTATTTTATTACATTTCTACAT